CCGCCCTCACCGCTGGCTCCTGACCCGGTGGGAACCGCGACCCGGCCCGGGGGCCTGGGGCGCTCCGAAGCTCCGCAGCCCTCGGGGCGCCGCTGCGAGGCGGGCTGCTTCTCTTTTCCTCCTGTCTGAACTCGCTCTGAGTCCTCAGGCGTCACGGAGCCTTGTGGAGCTAAGAGTAACCAAAAAGGTGCTTTTTGCTAAAGTTTACCATCCTTGTCACTTTTACATGGACTTAATGAGGATTTTTCTTTTTTTTTTTTTTAAGCAGAAGATTGGAACTGTGATTGAAACGCTGGGTTCCTTGGGTGTGGGATTTGTTCGTTGGTTTTGGATAGTCGATAACTGGACACACACCCTGTCCACCTGACTTTAGTGGGTAAAAGCCCTTGAAAATTATGGCTCTCTATACTTACCCACTATTTAAAAAAAAATAAACGGAGTAAAATTGGCCTGTCGTCAAATATTCTCATTTGGTTATCAATCACTTTTACCCTCCGAGATGGAGGTAGTTGGAGAATGGCCTTTGACCCACATTTGACCATTAGGACTGGTAAATTCTCGGGGAATGGCTAGCTGTTGTGTTTTAAAATATGTTTATAAGGTCAAAACAGGAACCACAAAACTCCCTTATGTGTTCACAGTTCATATAACCACCCAATATTATTATTTGTATTGGCCTCAAGATGTGCTCTCCCTCCCATTCTTTATCCTGAAGGATGTTTTTGGATGGGGTACAAAGGAGGAGCAGAGGTGGTGTGGTGGGTTTTTTAATCTCAAATTTTGTGGGTAGTCCCCCCCACACACACACTGCACACCCCTTCCAATATCTATACTTCAATATTTGAAGAAGCTGTTGAGATAAATCAAATAGTGACACGTTGATGGATTTACTTGTGTAAGCAATATGGTTGACATATGGCATTGTTATTTATGAATGACAGCATAAATTGTATTACAAAGTCTATTGCAATAATACTGCAGCTTATTGGAAAGCTGCTTGCCTGTCACCGGTGTTCAACCTCCCTGGATGTAGTTCGCCTGGGAGCCCAAAGGATAGCGGTCCTCAAAATAATTAAACACATTCATGTAAGCTAATGCCTTGTGTTTTTCGGTTTGTTTTTGTTTTCTCCTGCAGCAGTAGAAACACGCCCATCAGGAAAGAGGAGACAAAGTAAGGACAATCAGTTTTCTTCCTTTTGCAAAACCACAACCACTGTCACATAGAAATGTTGGCTGAGTCCCTAATGACAAATACACAAACATTCGCATCCGTATCACTAAACTGCTGGTGAGCATATATTTTATAGGGAGACTTTTTATAAGCCCAGTTACAGAATAGTAAATTTTAACTGTAGGAAGAAGAAAAGTTCTTTTAGCAGACAGGAGAGGGCCTTATCCTATGATACCATCCCACCTCCACTCAGCCTCCCCCTTCTTAAAAATAGCATTTAAAAGTTACAACATTGGCTGAGATTTTCACGATTTCCCTTTCTTTTATATTACACTTCTCTAAAGCTCTGACAAAGAACTTTTGTTCTATGTGGGTTTTACTGAGGGGGCTCCACCCCACCACACATGTGGTCCTTCATGGGTCAGGGGTCGCCCAGCCCAGGAGTGGCTGAGAGGGGCTGAATCAAAGGTGACCTGCAACTTAATATCCTGTTGATGATCTTGTTGAATTTATGAGTCTGTGACAGAGGATGGTGCTGAAATCCCTTTTTTCCCCCCTCTAGTGTATATAGACAGCTGATTCCACATTTGTTTCTCCCATCTCTTCCCCCATATGCATCCCTTTCCTTAGGAGGAAAATTAAAAGTTTGAGTGATAGAGCCACTGAGCGTTTCTGCTTTCCAATTTGAAGGTTGGTTTTGTTTGCTTGTTTGTTTTTGGCGGCCGCTGGCCAGCAAGATATACCTGTGTGCGCGCCTGTTGTGTGTACACATGTATTGTTTTTACGTATACGTGCACACAAAGTACCCATCATACTACAAAAGAACTCGGTCAACCATTCACAGAGGCCCGCAACCGCAACGAGGTGCTCAGGGAACGCGTGCCCGGTGTTTGATGGGGTTTTCTGGTTTCTGAATACAGCCGGGGTTCTCTGTCGCGCGCACCGCCATGCCCGCCGCTTGCCACGACCTGCAAGCCGGCCCAGGCGCCCGGGGACCCGCCAGGCAGGGTCATCCACAGACAGCAAGCCCCCCCCCCTCTTGCCAGCTTGACGCAGGCTCCGTGAGATCTCCAAAGAACAATTTTGGAAAACTTACAAAACGGGGACATGTTTACCCGATGGCGACAGTCGCGGGTCCCGCGGATCTGACACCGCCACAGCGGGCCCTTCCAGAAACCTGTTGAGAGACCGAAATCACTCACACGGTGCCGAGCGCCGCTTGGCCGCTGTTCTTCGCTTCGGCCAAGGAACCCACATCTACTTCTGAGACCGCGACTGAAAAGCCTTTGCAGGCCGCCCCCCACCCCTTGCTTTCTGGCGCGCACTCTCTTCCCTTCCCTTCCTAAAAAAAGAAAAGAGAAGGGAAGGGAAGGGGAAAAAAAAAAGAAAGAAAGAAAGAAATACTGTGTCCTGAGGGAAAGGGCTTTGGGGTTTGTGGAGAAATAAAGCACTTCTAAGAGGGGACGGCGACGTGACTTTGAACTTGGCTCAGCTCCTCTGTGTCCTGCCGAGAGAGGAGAACTGGAGCGGAGAAAGAATGGCCAGGAGGGCCCAGCCCGCGGGGTCTCCGGCGGGAATTCAGGCGCCTGCCCGGCTCCCCCGCCGCGCGCGCCCCCGGAACCCAGCGCGGCCGAGCGGGCGCTGCCAACGAGGAACCCAAAGAAAGGAGAGCTCGGGGCCAGGGCAGAGGGGCAGGAGTGGGCAGCCGGCGAGAAAGCGGCGAAAGAGGAAAACTTGAAGTCTGACGCTCGAAAGAAGGGCGGGAAGTGAGGTTTTGGATGTGCAAAGCTGCTCTTCTCACGACCAGCCTCTGACAAAATGCTTCTTTTGGCAATATTTTTGGAGTAAGCTTTTCCAATCATCCTCTCCCTCACCCCCTGTACAGGGATGAATAAAGTAAACGTGTGAAAGGCTGTGCATTGGGCGTTTTTTGTTTGTTTGTTTTACTTAGTGTATGTAGCAAGGCAGCTTTTCTGACTGGCAGTTTTTCTCTTTCCTCTCGGTCTCAATCTCGGGCCCCTCTGTTTAGGGGAGCAGTTTGGCACTTGCCTTCCCCCACCGTCTTTATACTGAGAGTGGAGTGTGGAAAGGAGGAACATTTCCGCCTTTTAGGGAAAGCGAGAATCTCCAGCTGCCAGGCCAACTCCTGGGCTTTCAGACTAGAGGCTCGGGCCTCCCGTCGTCGTAACGCCTCCACCCCAAGGTGGGAGTGGGGGCGGGGACAGCGGGAGAGCACGGGGCCCCTCGCCCCGGGGCTGCTGAGAGCTTCGCCCTGGAGGCCCGCTGAAGCCGCCGAGGCCGCCGGGGGCGCCGGGCTCTGCGGGCAGGAGCGAGCTAGAGCGCTCTTCCCGCGGTTTTGTCGACTTCATTTCAACATGAAAATCTGAAATGCATGGTGATTATTTTCTCTTAGTTGAATTTTATCTCAACTCCCGGAAATCTGTAAATAAAAGCCGTTCTCCTCAGACCTTGCATTCACACCTTCGCAGCCTCCGGGCCCGCCGTTCCCCGTCCCGTTACCTCGGAAGCGCAAGCTTTCCGCCGCGGGACAGGAAATGTCTGCAGCGGCCAACCAGGGACCCGGGGGCGGCGGGGGGGCGGCCGGAGCCCCGGGGCCAAAGGCCAGGCCAGCACAGGGAGGAGCCTCGAGTCCCCACCGCCGTGGGGGCGGGGGAGTTCCCCACTCCTAGAGGAGTTATAAAGTTCTAGAAGCCCCACCAGTCTGGAGATTTCTTCTCCGGAGGCCCTGAGCCTGACCCGCGGCCAAACTCCAGCCTGAGCCTTGCTTGGCCGCGCTCCTTGGGCATCCCCACACTTCCCACCCCACCGTGGCAGCAGCCTGGGCTTCTGGGCATCTACCCCGAGGGTAACACGGTCTTTAAACGAATTCCAAACAGCCCCCTCCCTCGCGGGGACCGATGCCCAGTGTTTACTGCTGTAATCGGAGCAGGACGCAGGCGGCTGGGGAAGCGGAGCAGCGGGTGGGGGCCCCGGCCCCGGAGGGGGGCGGTGTCTGAGTGAGTGTCCACAGAGTGGGAGGAAGAGGCATGCACCTGTGTTTTCAAGACCACGGAGCAAGTTTGCAAAATGGGGAGAAGAGGGATAAGGCGGGTCACAACCGATCAAGACACTGGCCCCGGGGCAGCTCCCCGCGGCGCGCTGCAGGCGGGGCCCGGGGCCTGTAGTGTCCCAGCGCGCAGGGCTCCAGTCCCCAGGCCCGGCGTTAGCCACGTTCTCGAGCTGCCAGGGGTACCGGCTTTTGGTGCCCGCCAGTAGAGGCCCGGGTCTGCGGAGAGTCGGTGGCCTCTGCGGAAGGGGGGATTGCAGGGTGCTGTCCCCTCCCGGCCCGCGCACCAGCCCTGCGGGTGGCCAGGCT